GGGTCTGGGCTGAGCGGGAGCGAGATGCAGCTGTTTGCCATGGACGGCGTCGAGGCCGTGCAGCTCGCCGCCTACTCTGCCAACTCGCTGCCGCGCAACGCCCTCGGCCTGTTCAAGCCTCGCGCCGCCAAGCCGCCATCGCCCCTCGAGGGCGAAGCCAGACAGCCGGTGCCGGCGGCAGCAGCATCGTCATCGGCGCCCGTCCCGCCCTTGCCCCGGTCGGGTCAGCTGGGGCCGCAGGTGGGTATGCGCGGAGCCAAGCCGATCCGGTCCCACGCGCCGCAGCACCTTCCCCCCTCGGCTGCCGGGCCCGGGTTGCGTCGGGGTCATAGCATCATGCAGAACCGCCGCGCTGCCGTATCGACCGACTCAGTGGTCCGGAAAGACTCGACGAGCGGTGGTGGAGGCGGCGCCGCTCACACCTGCACACCGGTCACGCCAGATGCCGGTGCGGGACGGAGGTCGATGGACTCTGCCCGTCCCCTGCCGTCTGCCGTCGAGCCGGTGCCTTCCTCTTCCTCGTCTTCGCTGACGAGGGATGAGGAAGGCAGCGAGATCAGGATGGGACCGCAGAAGCGCATGGGCGACGTCAAGTTCCTGGGCGACTGCTACGACCACGACCTCGCCACCGTCACGCTGCTCGCTCTGCTCGGCATGGTCAAGGTCTGACGATGGCCTTCGCCCTAGACTTGGAGCATGAGCCCTTCTCGCTCCTTCTTTTCCTCCATTATCCTTTCCCTAGTCCTTGACAAGGAAGAAGGGCTCGACAGTCTTTACTTTCTTCCCCTCGTGGTCCCCTTTGTTGTCTCGTAGTCCTCCCCCATTCCCCTCGTCTGCCCTGCACGGATCCCGCAGGGGGAGGGGGGTCTGATGGGGTGTCGAGGACCTCCCGACGGACACTCTTTCGCACACGAGTCTATCTATTCACTTGTCTTCTCTCTCGATGCAATGGGATCGAATGCGATCCCCCTCGAAAGGCAGGCGTCGAGATGCAAAAGATGCGCCGAGAAGGTGACCTGTCCGTGCGGCGCCCTCGGCCTGGAACCAAAAACGCGGTGCGGGCAGGGTCCACCTTCTCGGCCCGGCTTGCGGGCTTCTTGAGCCTCTTTCCTTCTTGTCGTCCACCTCTTCCACCTCCTTCTCGCTCTCTCTCGCCGCTGCTGTCCACCTCGCCTTTCATCCTTCCACGTCGCCCTGTATTCTCGCCCCCCAACGCTGACCCCTGGCGGTCTCGCTCTGCTCTGCCCGGCATGGCGCCGCATTCGAAGCCGATGCACTACAACCCTTCCGAGTACATCCAGACGGCTCTGACGGGCAACCACGTCTCGAAGCGCTCCGTCATCCTGGGCTCGGCCAACATCATCCTGGGCGGCAAATGCATCCTCCACCAGGGCGCCGTGATCCGCGGCGACCTCAAACGCAGCCTACCTTCGTCGTCGTCGTCAGCACCGTCGTCGTCTGCCACGTCGGCGAGCGGGCCGGGTGCCGAGGCTACGCCAAGGGAGAGGGCGCCGCAGCAGACGATTGTCGTCATGATCGGACGCTACTGCCTCCTCGATGAGGGATGTGTCATACGCCCGCCCTACAAGACTTACAGGGGGTGAGCTGGTGTTCTGTTGACGGCGGCGGTGGCGTTTGCGGGCACTTCCTCCGCTGACCTCTGCGCGCATTCCTCTGCTCCTCTTCTCCAACCCTCTCTCGCCCCTCGCTCGGCTCACCCCCGGCTGTCTCGAATCCCCCTCCAGGCAGTTCTCCTACTATCCTCTCAAGATGGGCGACCACGTGAGCATCGGAGCCAACAGCGTCGTCGAGGCGGCCGCGCTCGGCTCGCACGTCGAGGTCGGCGCCAACTGCGTGATCGGGCGCTTCGTCATGATCAAGGACTGCGTGCGCATCCTGGACAACTCGGTCGTGGCGCCCAACACCGTCATACCGCCGTATTCCATCTACGGCGGCAGCCCGGCCAAGCTGGTGGGCGAGCTGCCGGAAATGTTCCTCGAGAGCTGCGAGGCCAAGCGCAAGGACTACTACCAGCGCTTCAAGCCGGCCACCGACCATCGGTGATGCCCCCCCGCCGTCTTCGCCGGCCGATGCCGATGTCGTCGCCTCTGCCTCGCTGCCGTCCCCAGTCCCGCTTTCTCTCTCTCTCATCGCCCCGCTTCGGGGTTCCAGCATGCATTTCTATACCCCTGGCCTCCGGCATGGCGCGGTGTCGCTCTTTTGGGCCACCGCTGCCGGTCTGGCCCACCCTCAATGTACCATTGTAATCGCTTGGCATTCGCTTTCGCCCTCAGAGGTGGCGTCGCAGGAGGGTGCCTCGGTCTGGCTCCCCGTTTTTCGTATCTTGTTGCTGGCTGCGTGGGCGCCGTTGTTTGCGTGCGTTTTTGCAGGCGCACGGTCTGGCCTCGCTGCGCTGCTACGACCAACACCTCCACACTCGGCCTGGCGCTGCAAACGACAACGACGGCGGGCACCAAAGCATCCATCCTTCCCAACAGCTCTGTTCGGCCTTTGCCAGCCAACCGCACCCTCCATGCATCTCCTTCGCCGTCGTGCAACCTCTTTCCACACCGCTGCTCCACTCTCCCAGCACACGGCCTTATCATTACCACGGCACAACCGCCGCCGCCACGCCATGCCTTCGACTGCACGGCCCGCACCCCCACGCCGGGTGAATCTCCTCATCGACCTCAACGGCACCTGCCACGTCGGCGAGCAGCAGACGCCCGGCGCCGTCGACGCCCTCCGAAAGCTGCGCCAGCTCCAACGACGACAGCAGCGCGCCTCCTCGGGCGGCGTCGCATCTCCCTCGTCGCCGCCGTCGCCGTCGATCGGCATCCGCTTCTGCAGCAACACGACAAAGGAGTCGACGTCGTCGCTCCTCTCCAAGCTGCGCAGGGTCGGCTTCGGCGACGACCTCATCGTCGAGTCGGACCTCTTTACCAGCCTCGACGCCACCAGCCGCTACGTCGAGCGCTGCGGCCTCTCGCCGCTCCTCCTCCTCTCCGAGTCGGCCCAGACGGCCTTCCGGCGCGACGCCGCGCTCGAATCGCGCTGCTTCTTTGCCTCGCCCGGTACACCGCCCAGCCTGCTCCACGATGACCAGAAAAGGGCGCTGATGCGTTGCGATGCCGTCGTCGTGGGCCTGTGTCCGCAGCTCATGACGCAGGCCTGGCTCGACGAGGCCTTCAGGCTGATCAGCGGCGAGTACGTCGGCCGCGGAGGATCGCAAAAGGCCAGGCTGATTGCGACACACCGCGGTGAGTGCCCGAGATCCAGCGCCGTGCAAAGGACCCGTGCGACCGAGCGCTGATCCCAACGTCGTCTGCCGCACGGTGTGGGCCCGACTCTACCAGCTCTCTACCACCGACCGTCGACCGACAGCCCGCTTTCACTCGGACCGGGCGCGTTCATCGCAGCGCTGGAGGCGGCGGCGCGACTGGACGCCTCGACGACGACCATCTGCGGAAAGCCTTCGCGGACATTCCTGCAAGAGTGCCTGGGCGGTCTCGAACGCGAGGGCCCTGGCCGAGATGGCGATGGCGATGGCCAGGGCGATGCGGCGACGACGACCAAGACGAAAAACGTCATCGTGAGTGGTGGGGGTCCCAGCCGTGTGGTGTCGTACGGCGGACACCTTCATCATCGAGCAAAGAACCGGGCTGACCCGGAAGCATGTGCCTGTGCCCCTGTGCCTGTGCCTGTGCCTGTGCCTGTGCCTGTGCCCGTGGCTCTGCATGGCACCGGGTTCGATTGACAGATTGGCGACGATGTCGAGGCGGATCTCGGGGGCGACACGACGCTTCTCGAGCTCGAGAGGGTGCTGGGTGAGTGCAGTCGCGTGGTGACTACGGCTCAGCATGACGGCACAAAGTGGTGTGGGGTACACCCCCACCGAGCGCCCGATATGGCAGCCCGACTCGGCCAAGAGGGTTTGGGGGGGACGACGTAAGGTAGGCGGCGGGCCGGGGTCTGCGGGGCCCCCCAAAACAACTTGAGGCCAGCCAGGCCCGGCGCTCCCATACATGTCGCCGAGTCGTCTTGCGTATCTGAGCTTGTGCTCACGGGCGAGCAAGAGAGGAGGATTGTGACTCACCTCGTACCGAACGTGCAGACTGACATCCTGTCACCTGGTTCCCTCCCATCCCCGCCTGTTGCGCCTTCTCCCCGGGCAGTTCGAACGGGCAAGTACCGCAAGGGGGACGAGGATGGCGCAGCGCAGAGGTCGCCGCCCGACGCTACGTTCGATACGTTTGCCGAGTGGGTGGATGCCTTTGTGGCCGAGGTGGAACGACGAGGGGTGGCCGAGTAGCGGTAACTTAGGTCCGGATCAGCGGCAGCATTGGCCATCGATACATACGAGGCGCGCGCGTTGGTCGTCGTCGTCGCGGGACCGCTCGATTTGATTGATGCATAGGTTCCCAGGTACGTAGTGTCGGGTCTGGACGGGATGCTGCCATGTCAGAAGATCTCGCAGCTCGACCATGAGAGAGGCGTGGCGCCGGGCGGCGACTTTGCGGCGCCACGGCCACGTACTGTACTCGGCCCGACATACTGGACTTGTCTGGCCCTTGGCTCTTTGTTGCCTGGCCTGCCTTTGTCGCCTCGCTTGCAGCGGGACTTTGTCGAGATCAGGCTATGTACATATGTAGGTCCCGCACAAAAGCAGCGAGGCACGCGGGCGCGGGTCAGCAGGAATCGTCGCCGCCGCCGCCGCCGACAGAGTACGGCGCTCGAGCTCGACGTGGGAAAACAAAAGAAATCCTCCGTTCTGCCGGCAGCCTGCCCGCCCGCCCGCCAGCCAGCCAGCCAGCAGGAGCAGGAGGGCCAGCTGGCCTGCCTTTGCTCTTGATCTGTCTGTTTGGGGCCAGGAGGGCCTGGCTGGCGAGATAGGCGGGTGCGGATACGTACGATGGTCGGAGCTGGATTGCCGAAATCAGCTGCTGGTTGCTGTGCCCATCTCAGACGTCTACTCAGACGAGGCGACGTGGCGGTGACGACGAGGAGAGAGTTGGTAGTGGGGCGCGCCCAGCTCGCGTGGCACCGCCGGGACGATGAATGGTACGTGGCGTGCGGCTGGCTCCGCGGCCGTTTCCGGTTGGGTCCGAGGTGCGGGCGCGGGCACGGGCGAGGGCGAGGGCGAGGGCTGCCGTCTTTGGTTTTTCGGGAGGCGGGGAAGAGCAGCCCCACGCCAGCAGCCAGCAGCAAAGCGTGGGGGAAGCGGGCAGGGCAGGGCAGGGCAGGGCAGGGCAGGGCAGGACCCCCACGAGACAGACCAAGAGCCAACCTCAACCCCAACCCTTGGGGCTGGCTTGCAAGCTAAGAAGGTGCTGGCGCTGGGTGACCTCCCTGACCCTGACGCTGGCCTCGCCGTTTCTTCTTGGCCACCGCCTGCTGCCTGCCCATCCTCCCTCGTCACCGACCTTGCTTGCGTCTTGGCTACTCACGCTGCGCTACCACGTCGACAACTCCTGGCCTCGCCTCGCCTCGCTCCTCCTCTGGACCCTCTCTCGCACTCATTCGCCTGCCTCGCTGGCCTTGGCAAACCGAGGCTCGAGACCGAGACATCATTGCACCCTGCCCTTCCCCACACTCAGCTACCGTACCTACGTAGCTGCTCACCTCGCCGCCCTCCGCCTTGCCGGCAGGCCCTTCCGTCTTCCTCTCTCTCCCGTTCTGCTCCGAGCCTCGTCGCTCGGCACCTCCATCAACATCATCATCCCCGTCCCCGCTCTTGGCCACGGCACCGCACTCGCCCTCCCGCACGGTCCTCGATCCGCCTCCTCTGATGTCGCCGCCATATACCTCTCCCTGCCCCGCCTCGTCGTCATAGCGACCCCTTCTCTCGAGCAGCCACCACTACCACCACCCGCAACCCTCTTGTCGCCATGTCGACCAACAGGATCAACTCAAACACTGGCGCCGCCGCCGCCGCCTCAAACTCGACCCCTTCCATGGCCATCCCTAGCACCTCGTCGTCCACCCAGGCGTCTGTATCTGCGCCCTACACCAGTCACGGCCACCAACATCACCACCACCATCAGCAGCAGCAGCAGCAGCAGCAGTACCACCATCAGTCCCAGCACCGCGCCACGTCGTCGTCCATATCGCCCTCGATCAACCCGCAGTACTCGCTCGAGCCCTCGCCTCGGTCCTCGCGACCAGCTCCGCCCGGTCCGCCGTCCCAGGAGCGCCCCTCGAAGCGCTCGCGCGTGCGCCAGGCGTGCAACCGCTGCAAGGCACGCAAGATCAAGTGCGGCGACCTCCGACCCTGCGAAAACTGCACCTCGCTCGGCCTCGTCTGCAAGGACTGGAGACCCGGAGAGGACGCACAGCACATCTCGCCCTCGAATGCCTCCACGTCGGCGGCGTCGGCATCGGCGGCCACCGGCCTGCACGGCTACCACAGCGGCAGCGACCACGAGCCATCCGTCTCGTCCCACCGCTACCCGCCCGACCTGCACAGCCGCGCCGGCCTCCAGTACCGCGCAACACCCACGACACCAGGCCCACCAGCAGCAGCAGCAGCAGCAACCACCGGACACCCCTCTTCCTCGTCGTCGTCGTCTTCGGCGGCCTTTGCCACGCCCGTCTCCGATCCCCGCTCCTCGGTCCACTTCCGCACGCAGGGCGGTGCCGCCGGTGGCCCTTCTCAGTTCCGCAGCAGCGAGAGCTCCGAGCCGCCAGCCTCGACCATGTGGCCCAACACGCCCTACGAGCGTTCCACCCACTCCGTCGCCTGGCCGCCGCGGCCGGACCTGCGCCGCCACCGCTACCTCGCCTACCCCTTTGACTCGCTCTACCGCAACGAGTTTGGGCACCTCAAGGCCCTCTCGCTCTCGTCCGGTCTCGGCACCCTCTCCTATCTCCACGAGTACCACAAGCTCGCAAACGAGCAGTTTCTCGACGCGCTGTGGCAGGTGCTCGAGGGGGACGCCCACGATACGGGCAACACGCAGATGTTTGCCCTCGAGAGCGAGATCTTTTCTCCGCACGCTCTCGCCAGCCTCGGCCAGATGACTGACGTCGCCGGCGGCATCGCCCACCCGCCCCTGGGCGCCACGGGCCAGCAGGGCCTGGTGGACTACGACTGGTCCCTAGGCGGCCTCGGCCTCGGCGGCGGCGGCGGTACCGGCAGCGGGCTGGGCTCGATCAATGTGCCACACACCTACAACAGCAGCCTCGCCATGGCGCCGCAGCCCAACATGGAGGGCATCACCACCCGCGCGCCCAGCAGCGCCAGCGTCAGGCTCACAGTCTCGCCCGCCGCCAAGCCCGAGTCGAGGGCGAGCACCACTTCGCCGCATCCGCAGGAGACGGCCGCTGCGACATTGACCTCGACCTCGGCATCGACCTTTGCGCGCCCACAGGGCGTGTCGGCCGGCGGAAACAGGACTAGCAGGGATGCCAAGCCGGCGCAGGACACGCCGTCCCGCTCTGAGGCCGCAGAGGATGCCAAACCGACGCTGACATCGCCGTCGCAGCCAGCACTGGCCGACCCCGAGACGGCGCCGACGGATATGTGGGCCTATATGGATTCCAAGATCCCTCCACAGCATGTGAGTAGCGCCGCTCGACGAGACCGAGCAGCGTGACACGACCGCATCCGCCCAGCTAAACCTCCTGTCCGCCCATTTTGTCCTGCACCTCGACCTCGCAGCGCCGCTTTCTCGTCCACACCTTTCTCTCCACCACCTACGTCCTCTGGCCCACTTTCCTCCTGTCCGAGTTCCTCGAGACGCTCAAGGACGCCGAGCAGCGCAAGAACCCGACATTTGTCTGCCTGGTCATTGCCTGCTGCGCGATCGCGGCACGGGAAGAGGCCGGCAGCATCAAGGGCGGCGCCGCGGCAGAGTGGGGCTCGTCCTTTGGCTTCTTTGAGCTGTGTGAGTCGATGATGCGTCCGATAGCTGCCGGATTGGGCCGCTCCGTCCAGCGCTGACCTCGTCTACTCTCGCGCAACCTCTCGATCTGCCCACAGACCTCGACGTGCGCAGATATGCGCCGAGGAGCACCGACTGGGCGTCCCTCAACCACATTCAGGCGCTCTTCTACCTCTCGCACTACTGTTTTGGTGCCTCGGGCCCGTATGGTGTGCATCGCGCGCATTACCTGGTGAGCCGTCGCGTGGTCTTCGCCTCGAACCGAAAGCCGTGGCGTTCCGTGCACCCGCTTACCAACCTCTTCACGTCTCCGCTACCCCCTTCGGCTGACATCTGCAGATGAACGGATGCGTGTCCAAGTGCTTTGACGTGGGCCTCCATCGCTCCGCCGAGACGTACACGGACGCCTTCACCGCCTCTGAAATAGAGGCGCGTCGGCGCACGCTGTGGGCCGTCTACTGCGGCGACAAGGTGTCGGCCGCCTATGGCCGGCCGGTGCTGCTGCGGCTGTCGGACATTGACGTCGCCGAGATCGACACCGATTCGCCCGCCTACGACGAGCGGCTGCCCGCCAGCAACAGCTTTGACCAGGCGTACAGCATGCGCCCCTACCACCGCGCCGCCATCCGCCTGTTTTGCGTCCTGGAGCGCGTCATTGACAAGATCAACCTGCCCGCCTGCAGCTCCTCGGCCGCCCTCGAGAGGCTGATGCGCAAGAAGCCAAAGCGCCCGCGCCAGTCTGCCAACCACGACGACAGCTGCATGGCCGACCACGAGCCCATCGGCTTCTCCGAGGAGCTCGAACGTGAGTGCCGACAGCGGTAGCGGTGGCAGCGGCGAGAGCCAGCGCAGCGACGTTGCAGCAGCTTACCGAATTTCCTGGACCCCCTCGCCTACGTCCTTTGACCTTGACCTCGGCCCTCGATCCTTGCCTGTTCTGACCTTGACCGCGCCTCGCACCTCTGCGCCTGCTCCGCCTCCAGTCGTCGACATGTTCCAGACGGCCGACACGCCCACGCCGACGACGACGCATCAGGACGATCCCATGTTCCATGCGCACATCGAGCGGCTGCGCACGACGGCGGCGTTCATCAAGATCTTCATCTACCGCCACCTCTTCTGCATGGCCAATACAAACCTGTCGCGCGAACCGCCGCGGCTCGACTACCGCGACGAGATGGTCAAGTGGTGCCGGGAGCTCCTCCTCTCCCAGCGCAAGATGATCCGGCGCGGAGAGTATACCGGTGAGCTGTCGAGGTTCTAGGGTCTTGGAACGTCAGCGGGGAGCAAGGGAAGGCGGGTGAAGGTGTGCGCTGACGCGATATCATTCTTGTCACAACGGTCTGCCGTGTCCATCGCCGTAGATTTTGGATCGGTCATGGTGAGTCGCATGATGCCGTGCTCGTCGTGGTTTCGCGATCGTGCCTTTCGCTGACATCTGCCGCCTTTCGTCCGTTGCACCCACCTCGCAGTCCTATCAGCTATCCCAGACCGGTCGCGGCCTGATTCCGGCCATTTACATTTCGTCGCGCCTCATCGACCCGTCGCAGGACCCCAACGGCGCGACAATCATCAAGGAGTCCAAGGAGCTGCTGGTGCTGGCGTACGACCTGCTGCGCACGCTCTCCTCGCGCTTTTCCGCGTCGCACCGGCAGCTGCAGATCATGCAGCAGGCGTTCAAGCGGCTGGATCTGAGCCTCAAGCGGCGGCATCACCACCACCCTCACCATCACCACCACCACGGACACGCAGGCAGCGGCGCTGCGGGGTCCGGTACGGCGCATCACCATCATTCGTCGCACGTCGGCGGCGGCGGAGATGGCGCCGTCGGGGCCACGACGGCCGAGGGCGGAGGTGCGGGT